AATGACTTCACCCTTGCCAGCATGTGGACTTTGTGCAAAAGAACAGGAGAGGGGGCAGGAGATGTTTTTCTGAAGCCATCAGCTCCCTGTCGCAGCATCCCAGCAGAGGGTGGATGTGTCCATCGCAGATCCCTAGGGCTAGGTTAGTCCCCGCTCTCCGCTGCAGAAGGGCAAATCTGGAGTCACGGGTGGATGTGAGTACAGAGCCCTGTATACAGCCCAAACCCCAGCTGAAATAAGAGGCGGCTTGATAAAACGTGGGATGCGGGAGGCAAAACATCCCTTGGGCACAGGTGAACCCCCCATCCCAGTATAACAGGACCTGCTGGGAGCTGGTGTCATTTTAATGCCATTTTCCCTATTAAACAACGTTGCCCTCGACCATCCTCCGGTTTTCTCTACCATTCAGCTCTTCCCCCACCGCCATTTGTTACACATGTCCCATACAAGATGCTGTTGCCCCTTTGGCTTTCCAGGGGAAGGGCTCTGCCTTCCTGTGGCTTTCGGAGCGTGTAGCCCAGCCGGTCTCGGAATTAGACTGGGGCCTTCGCAGGCTGCCGCAGTATAAACAGTTTCAGTAGGGCACATGTTACACAGTAAGATCATCCGAAACCAAACATTTTCCCACTGCACACAATAAACATCTATAATAAATTGCATTATACAAAATATATTTATGGCTAATTTTTTAATTTAAACCACCTGGGAAATTTTTGTTAGATTGGTTGATATGAAGGTCTCGGTATTCTGGTAATCTAATGATATCTAATAGACAAAATAGTATGATGTTACACCAGTCTCAAAGCTTTCATTTTCTGTAGCCCTCTCAGAGATCAAACTGGCAGAACTCATATTTTTTGAAATTTTATACATAATTGGTGATGCAATTGCCAAAAATAACCTATTCATAGAAGTCTTGCTCTTCTGGTTTCTAACTTACTGTAATCACGAAACAGAGCAGCGCACTGCTTTGCAATGGAATATGGGTTTGGGTCAGGGAGCAAAGGCTATGGTTGTGTGGCAGTTTCCATTCTGCGTATTATTTTACAGGCAATTTAAATTTAGTTTAGAGTTTAAACAGGGCTAAAAAGTAGTGCACCCATTCAGACATATGAGCAATTCTTCAGAAAAGGAATAAAGCTGTAACGTGGGTATATGTCTTTTCTGAACCAAAATTTTGCTCCAATATAAGATTTTCTAAACAAAAGCTGTTGGTGCCAAAGGGGACAGAGTGTTTCTATTGCATAAATTAAGCCCAGACTTGCAATCCTTCCACCATAAAACTCTCATGCTCATCACAGATTAGCCAAGATTTCCAAAAAGACTCGAGATCATCGCAGATCTGGTTGAGCCAGCCTCTCTCTAGTCAATATAAATCCCAGCTCGAACCGTGTTGTGTATCTGCAACGAGCACTGACGGCTTGGTAGTTGCTGGACTCGTTTTAAAGTGCAGCCCATACCTTTAGCTACTTCCTTGCCTCCTGTTGTTCCTGGGACTTGGAGGCCATGTGGTACATTTCAGCCTTAACTTTGAATTTCCTTTATTTTGTAGATCAAACTTTGACATTCCCTTAAGGTAGTGGGGTTTTATGTCGTTGCATATATCCTAGTTTAAAAGATAATGCTTCACTGAAACAGACCACAATATTAAACCCTGAAATAAAACGAATTGTATTTCACTTCCTAACTCCTTGCTGGATTAGCTCACATTTCTTTCTCTTTGTTACATATTTAGCACCAAATACAATATTCATTGCAGGCTAGCTTCCCTCCTCCCACACGGCTCTGTGGCTGCCTTCTCTTCCAGAAGCACTGGAGAAGGCAATGCCTCGCTATAGCCTGGAAATGCAAACAAAAGGGATGGAACATAAAGTCGGTGGATGATCAGGCAGGGCTGCTTTATATCCTGAGCATTTTAATTTTTTTATTTAAAATGGCAATGCAAAGAGACAGAGTCCTAGGGATAACAACATTCACTGCTCCTTAGCTTCTCCATCCCCTTCCCCACCTTGCTGTTTCTTAGCCGAGTTTATCTGCCAGCAAACACCTCCCTCCAGCACCCCCTGCAGCAAAGGGGGCCTGGAGGTGCTTTCTGATGCTTATTGGTCCATACCATGATTTATACTGATCTTGTCTGGTTCCTGGTCTGGGTGTTAAGAACTACAGCGGTAATCAATTGCCCATTGACATGGCAGGAACCCACTGGAAAACCGTCGCAGAGGGGTAATCAAACTTCTGTGACCCCAGACTCCCTTCTCTGTATCCCAGCGTGTACACCCTATTCCTCCTTCCCATCTTTGCAAAACCCATCTTTGCCTTTGCCCTTAAACACAGGGACAGCAGCCAGCACGGCTCTGGGGACGCCCGCGATACAGGTAAGCAGTGGTAAGGATGGAAAAGACTTTGAGCCAGACATTGGTTCTGCGTTGTCTGAGTTGAACCCGGTTTTTTTAATGGCCATTTAGTTTTTAAGTGCATTCCTGTGATCCCAGCCTTGAGCTTATGTCTCCATATGAAACGGCACTGCTTTAACTAGGTGCATAGATTATAAAACCAGGAAGAGTGGTCTGGTCTGCCCCCCTGTATAACACAGGCTACAGGAATTCCCTAAATTAATTCCTGTTTGGATTAGCTCATATCTTTTTAGAAAAACAGCCAACCTTAATTAAGACAAAGGAATTCCAGTGATGTTGAAATCCACCCAGCTCTCAGTAAATTGTTTTACTGGTTAAATACCTTCACTACTTAAAATATAAACTGTATTTCTAATCTGCATTTGTCCAGTTCTAGCTCTGTCTACTGGATAATATGACATTTGTATCTGCTAGTTTGAAAACCATGTGGGATTAAACCTCTTCCTGCTCTTCATAAGGCACTCCTTGCCTAACTAAACTGAAATGATGTAAAATTGATTGTATTAAATTACAGCAAAAGAGAACTGAGTTGCTCCAAAAATGACAGCAAATCTAGTTAAATTTTAAATAAACAAATATCGTGAATTCTTAGTCGGAAACCTAAGTGTCTGAACAAGCCCTTCCAAAGTTAAAGTACATCTGTTCAGAAAGGGGTTTACTGCAAAGCAAGGCAATTTCTGTGGACAAGGCTTCATTAGCTGAGATTTATAAAACTTCATCTGCTTCCCCACTGCCCTTTCCTCATCCACCCTGGCCCGGAGCAACCACTGATGCTTTCCTTTATCCTCCTGCACTACATACCTGTCCTGGCAGACAATTCATTCCACTTTCTTCTTCAGCAACTTAGATGGCTTTATCAGGGAGCTGTGCTCCCCAGGACAGCCAGAAACACCTCCTCTGTCCAGACACCTTTACTTACATGTGATGTCAACAAATATTTTACAATGCATACTCCCACCATGGAAGTACACAATTAGTGCATTTGGGAAGCATCCCAGGGAACAACATATATCAACCCTGTGTTCCCTATACGCATTCACAACATTTCAGAGCCTGTGTGTATGTGCAGACATAAGTGTACAGGCTGCAAGCATCACAGGAGCCTATGCATACCACAATCCGTCTCTAAACCAGTACGTACATTAACTGCAATCGCAGATATCAAATGTATTTATCTGCTTTTCTCTGTGTATGTGCACACATATATATAGGTATTTTATACATACATATGTATACACACACACACACATATATCTCTGTAGCATAAACAGAAAGGTACACCTATACAGTAAGCACAGACACATACACACTTATGTGCACTTAAATAACTAGGTGAATAGGTGAATATGAACACTAATAGCCATTTATGGCAACAACAATGAAAGCTGTCCCTGGAGCCCGCCTATGGTACAGCAGCCAAAATGATTGAGTATGTACAGGGCACCGCTGCAGCAATGGCACTCACATGGGCCTCCTTTTAGAAATGATTAATATTTAACCAGCTTGGTGAGCTTGGCTTTGGTTTTAGTTATGATTAGATAGCAGGGATAGCACGGAGCTGTCCCACTAAGGACATCGTGGGATGTCTGAGCAGCTTCCACTCGCGCTTCACGAGAAGGCAGACAGAAAGTGAGAAGGAGAGAGAGGGAGAGATATGAAGCAGTAAAAAAAAAAACCCCGTGCTCAGCTCCGTTTGTGTTTGTTTGGAAAGAAAAGGGGGAAAAGCAGCCTGAGAGGCCGGTGTAATAAGATGCTGTAGCTTTCATGAAAGAGGTGAAATAATTTTAAACACAGACACACAATGAGTTTATTTATTTAGAAAGTTGTTAAATAGAGTCTGGGAATTCAAATATTCAATGTTGACATTGTACAGAGCTGGCGGGGAGCCAGTCCCGGCTCTCCGGAGGGACCCAATGGCCACGGCGCCCAGGCCCTCGCCCCTCCCAGCCCACTAACTAGGTAAAAGCCATTAGTTATCCCCACAAGCAATATCTGAATCCGAGTCAAATAATGTTGCCTCAGCCAGCCAACTTCAAAGGCGTGTAAGTGTGTTTGGCTTTTTAGTGCTGGAACTGCAGCAATATGTCACTCTTTTGAAAGAGTTTTGTAAACAGTTCCTTCCCCTTTGTAGAAACATTTCTTAAGTTTCTGGTACCCCATGTAAACAGCGTTAATTAACAAGGGTTACATTTTTCATTTACAAGCAGGGCTGTATTAATAACGAGCTCGCCTTCTGGACCGTCCTTTTCCTTTGCGTCTCTTCTCTGCCCTGCACCACAGCCGGCCCGGTGTGGCCAGGGAGCAGCGGGGAGGCACCACGTAGCTCAGCCACGGGCTCAGCCCTGGGCGACATCACCTACCGCAGCACCACAAAGTTGGTCCCAAATTCAGTGGTGACTGTTTGGCCCCGAGTAAGAGACAGTGGGAGAGAGAGAAAGAGAGAAAGAGAGAGAGAGGGAGAGAGAGGAAGAAGGAGGGGGAAAGAAAAGAAAGAGAAGAAGAGAAGAAAATGAAGAAAGGGAAGAAAAGGGAGAAAGGAAGAAGAGAAGAGAAGAGAAGAGAAGAGAAGAGAAGAGAAGAGAAGAGAAGAGAAGAGAAGAGAAAGAAAAAAGAAAAGAAAAAAGAAAAGAAAAAAGAAAAGAAAAAAGAAAAGAAAAGAAGGAAGGAAGAAGGACAGAAAGAAAAGAGAGAAAAGAGAGAAAAGAGAGAAAAGAGAGAAAGAGAAAGAAGAAAGAGAAAGACAGGGAGAGGGAGGGAGAGAGAACAAGGAAGAGAAAGAGAGAAAGAGAGAGAGAAAGAAAGAAAGAAGAAAGAAAGACAGAGGAAGAAAGAAAGGAGAAAGAAAAAGAAAGAGAGAAAGAGAGAAAGAAAGAAAGAAAGAAAGAAAAAGAAAGAAGAAAGAAAGAAGAAAGAAAGAAAGAAAGAGAGAAAGAGAAAAAGAGAAAGAAACAAAGAAAGTAAGAAAGAAAAGAAAAGGGACAAAAGAAGAAAAGGCAGAACGAGGGAGCGAAAAGCCACACGCACGCTCTCCACCCTGAAAAGGGTTAATGAAGTGCCTGGTGAAAATGTGCCCGGCATATAATGGGATTGTCTCGCCCGCCCCGCAGCCCCCCGTGCCTGCACCCGCCGCGCAGAAGCCATCCGGGGACAGCGCCGGGCCGGGCCG